GGCGTCCTCCCTAACTCATTTTATGAGGCCAACATCATCCTGATACCAAAGCCTGGCAGAGACACAACAAAGAAAGAGATTTTAGACCAATATCCCCTGATGAACATCGATGCAAAAATCCTCAATAAAATACTGGCAAACCGAATCCAGCAGCACATCAAAAAGCTTATCCACCATGATCAAGTGGGCTTCATCCCTGGGGTGCAAGGTTGGTTCAGCATATGCAAATCAATAAAGGTAATCCAGCATATAAACAGAACCAAAGACAAAAACCACATGATTAAATAACTCAGAAATGGAAAACCAAATATTGCATGTTCTCACTGATATGTGGGGGCTAAACTATGAGGACGCAAAGACATAAGAATTAGGAAATGGACATTGTGCACTTGCAGGGAAGAGTGGGAGTGGGGCACAGGATAGAAGACTACAAATGTGGTGCAGTGTATGCTGCTTGGGTGATGGGTACACCAAAATCTCACAAATCACCACGAAAGAACTTACTCATGTAACCAAATACCACCTGTACCCCCAATAACTAAGGGAAAAATAAAATTTAAATAATAATAAATAAAAGTACTTTGAAAAAATTTTTTTAAATCACTAGTGTTTCTAAACACCAATAACAGACTACCTGAAAAAGAAATGAAGCAAGCAATCCCATTTGAAATAGCTACAAAAAAAAAATGGATATCTAGGAATAAATTTAACCAAGGCAATAAAAGACCTGTACAATGAAAACAATAAAACACGGATGAAAGAAATTGAAGAGGATACAAAGAAATGGGAAAGACATCCCACGTTCTTGGACTGGAAGAATTAATATTGTTAAAATGACTGTACTACTACAGATGCAATGCAATTCCTAGTATGATACCAATGACATTCTTCACAGAAATAGAAAAAAAATTCTAAAATTTGTATGGAACCACAAAAGACCCCAAATAACCAAAGCAATACTGAGAAAAAAAAAAGAAGAAGAAGAAAAAAAAAAGCTGGAGGCATTACACTATCTGACTTCAAATATACTACAAAGCTATAGTAATACTATGGTTTTGGCGTAAAAACAGACATACAGACTAATAGAACAGAATGGAGAACCCAGAGCTAAATCCACATATTTACGGCCAACTGATTTCCTTTTCCCTCCCCTCCCCTCCCCTCCCCTCCCCTCCCCTCCCCTCCCCTTCCCTTCCCTTCCCTTTGAGACAGGATCCTGCTGGAGTGCAGCACTTTGATCTCGGCTCACTGCAGCATCTGCCTCCCAGGTTTAAGAGATTCTCATGCCTCAGGCTCCTGCGTAGCTGGGATTACAGGTGTGTGCCACCACACCCAGCTAATTTTTATATTTTTAGTAGAGACGAGGTTTCATCATGTTGGCCAGGCTGCTCTCAAACTTCTAACCTCAAGTGATCCACCCGCCTTGGCTTCCTAAAGTACTGGGATTACAAGCGTGAGCCACCAACCCTGGCCAAGACCAACTGATTTTCAACAAAGTTACCTTCATTCATTGGGAAAACGACAATCTGTTTAATAAATGGATGATGGAAAAACTAGATATCCATATGCAAAAGAATAAAAATAGGCCCCAATATCTCACCATTTATAAAAATCAATTTTAAATGGATTAAAGACTTAAACATCATAACTGAAACTATGAAACTACTAGAAGAAAATATAAAGGAAACACTTTAAGACATTGGTCTGGGCAAAGATTTTATGAATAAGACTATAAAAGCCAGACAAAGAAACAAAAATAGACAAATGAAATTATATCAAACTAAAAAGGTTCCGCATAGCAAAGGAAACCTGCCAATAGAGTGAAGAGACAACCTATTGAAAGGGATAAAATATTTTTCCAACAAGGAATTTACCTCCAGAATATATAAAAAACTTAACAGTAGTAAAACAAATATTCCAATTTAAAAATTGGCAAATGGTCTGGGTGTGGTAGCTCACGCCTATAATCCCAGCACTTTGGGAGACCAAGGTGGGCAGATCATCTGAGGTCAGGAGTTCAAGAACATCCTGGCCAACACAGTGAAACCCCGTCTCTACTAACACTACAAAAACTAGCTGGGCATGGTGGCACGTGCCTGTAGTCCCAGCTACTCACGAGGCTAAGGCAGGAGAATTGCTCGAACCCAGGAGGTGGAGATTGCAGTGAGCCCAGATCGTGCCACTGCACTCCAGCCTGGGCAACAGAGAGAGACTCTGTCTCAAAATAAATAAATAAATAAAATAAAATAAAATAAAATAAAATAAAAATTGACAAATGATCTAAATACACATTTCTCAAAAAAAGACATAAAAATGACTTACAATCATAGAAAAATGCTCAGCATCACTAATAATCAGGAAAATGCAAATCAAAACCACCAGGAGATATTATCTCACTTTAGTTAGGATGACTATTATTAAAAAGACAAAAAATAATAAGTGCTAGAGAGAATGCAGAGAAATGAGAACTCTTCTACACTATTGATGGGAAAGTATAGTATAGTATAGCCATATGGAAAACAGTATGAAGGCTCCTCAAAAAACTAAAAATAGAACCACCATATGATCCAGCAATACCATTACTAGGTATATATCCAAAGGAAAGGACATCAGTATGTCAAAGAGATATGTGGCTCTCTTGTTTATTGCACCACTATTCACAATAGTCAAGATACGGAATCAACATAAATGTCCATTAACAGATGAATCAGTTTTTAAAATGTGGTGAATGTATGCAATGGAATACTATTCAGCCACCTAAAAGAGTGAAATCCTGTTATTCACAGCAACACGGATGAGCTTAGAGGACATTATGTTAAGTGAAATAAGTCAGGCACGGAAAGACACATACCTCATGTTCTCACTCATATATGGAAGCTAAAAGAGTTGATCTCATAAAAATAGAAGGTAAAATAGTGGTTACTAGAGGCTGGGAAGGATAACATGTAGGGAGGACAGGAAGGGCAAGTAGGGAGAGGTCAGTTAGCAGACACAAGAGGCCAGGTGTGGAGGCTCACGCCTGTAATCTCAGCACTTTGGGAGGCCAAGGCAGGTGGATCGCTTGAGGTCAGGAGTTCAAGATCAGTATGGCCAACATGATAAGATCCCGTCTCTACTAAAAATACAAAAATTAATAAGGTGTGGTGGTGCACACCTATATTCCAGCTACTTGGGAGGCTGAGGCAGGAGAACCACTTGAACCCGGGAGGCAGAGGTTGCAGTGAGCCAAGATGGAGCCACTGTACTGCAGCCTTGGTGACACATCAAAACTCTATCTCAAAAAAAAAAAACAAAAAAGGTCAAAAAAATCATAAGTTGAGCCATCATTAAGTCAGGGACCTTCACAAGTCTGTAGTTGTAAGCTCAGTACCTTTTGGTGGAAAATGAGCAACTTACTAAATCTTATGAAAGGGAATACATCCTCTATTCTACTATATCTAGTTTCCATCCTTGAAAACAAACAAACCAAAAAAGTAATACTCATTGGAAATAATAAAATGATAAAATGAACCTAAGGTATCCTTTTATGAAATTACCTGCTATAATAGTAAAAACAAAAACAAAACCTGGAAATAGCTTTAGCTACAATGAGAGAAAGTTGTTAAATAAATTACATTAATTTAGTAAGCTATCATGAAGTCATTAAAATAACTACGAGCACTACACAGAACCACAGTGCTGTGGTTTGAATGTCTCCTCCAAAACTCACACTGAAATTTAATTGCCATTGTGACAATATTAAGACATGGGACCTTTAAGAGGTGATTAGATCATGAGAGCTCTCCCCTTAGTAACAGATTGATGCCACTATCTCCGGAGCGGGTTAGTGACCTCAGGAGTGTGTTCCTGATCAAAGGATGAAATTCAGCGCACATCCTTTCTATATCTTGCATGATCTCATGCCCTCCTACCCCTCCACCATACAATAACTCAATAAGAAGACCAGGCACGGTAGCTCATGCCTGTAATCCCAGCACTTTGTGAGGCCGAGGCGGGCAAATAACCTGAGGTCGGGAGTTCGAGACCAGCCTGACCAACATGGAGAAACCCCATCTCTACTAAAAATACAAAAAATTATCCAGGCATGGTGGCACATGCCTGTAATCCCAGCCACTCAGGAGGCTGAGGCAGGAGAATCACTTGAACCCGGGAGGCGGACGTTGCAGTGAGCCGAGATTGCACCATTGCACACCAGCCTAGGCAATAAGAGCAAAACTCCGTCTCAGAAAAAATAAAAAGAAAAGAGAATAACGCAGTAAGAAGGCCCTCGCCAGATGCCAGTACCATGATCTTGAACTTCTCTGCTTCCAGAATCATGAGCCACATATACTTGCATTGTTGATAAATTACCCCATCTGTGGAATTCTGTTACGCCAGCAGAAAATGGAAATAGATACATAGAAATATTTATGATATATTAAATGAAAGAAGATAAAAATGGTATGGAGTCTAAGTACAACTATGTCAATTATTATATACATGGACATTGATAAAATGATAGTAAACAAAATGTTGAAAGGCTGTGTTATTTACCACTAAAAGGCAGTAAAATTCAAAGTACTTCATAGGATAAACAAAGGAAAAGATAAATTCATCTAGAAGACCTGCAAAATCTGGACCATACTTTTAGTAGCAAGGAATTGTAAGGTTTCCCTGTGCCTCTCTAACCCAGTGAGTAAATATAAAACCATCAAAACTACTTACCACAGTTTAAAATTTTAACCTGTGGCCTAGAAAAATATTTTCACTTTTTATGAAAACAATATTAACAACTTGGTTTCAACAAATTTATACATTTAAAAAATGAATGAACAATACTAATAACATGGATTGGGAAAGATAAAAGTAAAGTGTGTTCCTTATGCAAAGACACATCTTACTATTAGTAGATATATGTGAAATATTCTATTTTGGGAAAAATTAAGAAAAATATATTTTTAAAAATTTAGATCTTACCAAAGGATGAAGAAAAAAATTAAGAGAAAGAACTTTTGAAATACCTATTATGTTGACTCTTCCTGGTGCTCGAACATAAAACTTGGGAATAGATCCAAACTTGGAGTTAAACATCTCCTTTAGCTTCAGTAACCTGAAAATAAAAGTACAATATTTCAGATTATCATATAACAGAAAATCCATAACATACACACACACACACACACACTCTCACTCCATATGCCTGCCACCACTCATTATTCCTTAAAAGAATAAAAGCAAAATTTCCTAGTGACATACTTCCTTGAAAATCCCAAATGAACAATACTGTAATCTCTAAATGGCACAAAAGTATAGCTAAGTACACTGGAGAATTTAAAAGTTAAGATTGATATACCCAACAGAAAAAGCTACTTCCTTCCCTTTTGAAGAATCTAGTTTCTGTATACTTTTTTGGTGACATTCAGGGCAGAATCTCTTATATTAAAAGGTGCACCATGCGGTAGTATATTTAGTTTCCTAAGGCTGTCATAACAAAGAACTATAAACTGGATGACTTAACACAACAGAGATTTATAACCACAATTCTGCAGCCAGAAGTCTAAAGTCAGAGGTCAGTAGTACCTCCGAACTGTAGAGGAGAATCCTTTCTTCCCTGCCTCTTTCTATCTTCTGGTAGCAGCCATCAATCCTTGGTATTCCTTGGCTTTCAGCTTCATCACTCTTATCTCTGCTGTGTCACCACATGGCATTCTCTCTGTTTTTCCTTCTTGTAAGGACACCAGTCATATTGGATTAAAGTCCATCCACTCTAATTGAGTATGACCTCATCTTAATTGATTACATTTGCGAAGATGCTAGTCCAAATAAGGTCACATTCTGCAGTTTCAAGTAGATATGAATTTGGGGGGTTATACTGTCTAACTCAGAACATGTAGTAAAATAAAAACTAGACTGGACATCAGGAAACCACAGTTCTAATTCTAATGAGATCTCTAATTCAATGTCGAAGTTTGGCAAATCATTTTCTCCTGGCCTCTCTTCTCTAAAATTTGAGAATTTGAACTAGATATTCCTCATAGGTCCCTTCCAGACCCAAAATTCTTGTAATATATTTAATAACTCGATACTCTCAAATTATCTCAAGTCAATTCTGTGAATAGCCCTCATTATTTGTAGTCTCACATCATATTGTATCTGGGTACTAACACCGGGATAATAAATGTTTATTAAAGCCTAATATATTCAGGATATTAATTAATTAAGAAACAGAGACCCACACCCAAAAAAACTCAAGAAAATTTAATATAATAATATAAAAATATGTGGAATATTGTTGGAAGTTATTCAAGCTCATCTCTTGGGAATTGAATAGTCATCAGAAACTGTTTATATCAGTTTCTTTGGCTCTCTTCCTGCCTCATTCTCTTATTGCTCCAAAGACACCATTATAATTTCTCTCTGCTCAGTACTTTTTGCATTCCACCTGCCTCTGTGAACCTCTTAGTTTCTGATCCTCCATACCTTCAGTTTTCATGGCACTGTGGCCTTGACTATACAAGACTTAACAGCTCCAGTATCCTATACTAACTGATTACATTTCTGTGTCCTTTCGTTCAAATTCTCGAAAGATATAATCAGCTTGGCAGAGTTTAGGTCCTGTATCCATACAGGTCTAGACATCTGTGGCCAAAGGGTGAGGTCATTTAGTACAAATAAGGTCACTTGTTTTAGTTACAAATATGATTACTTGTGCTTACTCCTTCAGCAGAGGCTGTGGAAGAGAACAAAAGATCGCGGCAGGGAGACAATAACAGAATCTCTAACATATGACTCAAAATACATTTACTGAACAACCTGGTAGACGTGGCTGCCTAAATGTGAGTTTCTCTATATATCCTCAAAAAAGAAAACACGAACAAATAAAAGTATACAAAAACTCTGTCTTCAGTATAACTAGAAGACAAAAATGCCAAACTTCAAGTTACCTATAATAGGGGGAAAAAAGAAGAGAGAAAAGAAGACCACAGTGAACTACTAGAAACAAAAATTGAGCAAAAAAGCCAGGCACCCTGGGTGTGCCTGTAGTTCCAGCTACTCTGGAGGCTAAGCCAGAAGGATCGCTTGAGCCTAGAAGTTCTGGGCTGCGGTGCGCTACGCCGTCCAGGTGTCTGCACTAAGTTGGGCTTCAATATGGTGACCTGTGGGGGCCAAGGGATTACCAGGTTGCCTAAGGAGCAGTAAACCGACGTAGGAGGGAAATGGAGCATGTCAAAACTGCTGCACTGATCCATGGCAAGATCCTGTCTGCAAGTAGCCACTGCACTCTAGCCTGGGCAACATGAGACCTTGTCTTTGAAAAAAAAAAAAGGAAAGAATGAAAGAGAGGGAGGGAGGGAGGGAGGGAAGAAGGGAGGGAGGGAGGAAGGAAGGGAGGGAGGGAGGGAGAGAGGGGGAGGGAGGGAAAATTGAGTAAAATAAAGAGAAAAGAAGGGAGCCACCAAAACTAAAATTAATCTAAAACCACTACCAGAAAGAAAAAGTCCACCTATTAACAAACAGGAGGTGTGGGAGAGAAAAAGAGGAAAGTAGAATAAGCTCATTGATTACTAAATAGGCAAGAGGTAAAAGTTAAAAGATACAAAAAAAAAAAACTGACAAAGCAATGATTTTTTTAAAATTATAGTACAGACATATACAAGGATATTATTAAAGAAACAAAAGCATAGAAAGAACAGGTCCTGTACAGTCAGGTAGACCTGGGCTTAAAACTCTCCTCTACACATGATGAAATTCATTAATCTAATTCACCTTTAAACTGGATAGAAATATGTATCCCATAGATTTGTTGGGAAGATTAATAAGGTCATTTGGAACAGTGTCCAGTCCAGCACTGGCATGAAGTATGTGTTTAATAAATGGTAGTTATGATTATATCTTAGTTCCTGGGTTCAATATCATTTCCACTCTGTAGCAGGTGAATAAGAATACATCATAAGCAATGAGAGATGGTAGGTGTGTTTGTGTCAGGATAGGAAGCAATGTTAGTGCACTGGGTAATTTTAATGATGCTATTGAAAAATCTTGGTGCTCTCTGCCCAGCTTCTTCTATTTTATAGAGAAGTTTGTTGAAGCAACTGAGGTTATTTGTCTGGATTTGAGATAGAATGACATAAAATTGGTGCTTTTCAACAACCACCACTGGAAAAAAATTAAAAACTGACGAAGAAGATAGTAGAAGTTAAATAAGAAAATAGTCCCCTGTTTTCTAAGGGTGTTTTAAAAATATAAGTACAAAGGTAACCAATAAAACAAAAATATAAATCTTCCTAAATACCATACAAATTTCAAAAATAAAGGAGAAGAGAAAAATATCTGGTAGATAGGAAAAACATAAAATGTACCATAGCATACAATTACAGGTTGAGCATCCCTAATTCAAAATTTCAAAATCCAAATCATTCCAAACTTTGAAGCTTTTTAAGCACAGCCATGACATCATAAGTGGAAAATTCCACACCTAAGTATTTAACACAAACTGTTTCATGAATAAAATTATTTTAAATATTGTATAAAACTACTTTCATGCTATATGAATAAGACGTATATGAAACAAATAAATTTCATATTTACATTTGGGTGCTATCTCCAAGATATCTCATTATGTATATGTAAATATTCCAAAATCCAATAAATCTGAAATCTGAAAAACTTCTAGTCTCAAGCATTTTGGACAAGGGATATTCAACCTGTATAAAATAGTACAACAACTGAAATCAAACATATTAATCACATTAATAAATGTGAATGAGCCTCAACTATTAAAACAAAAAGATTTGCAATTTTGCTCCTAAAACAGGACTGAATGTATTATGCTGTATACTAGACACATAACTAAAACAAGGTGATTCTGAAAGACTAAATATCAAGAAATGGCCATAGATATTATAGGCAAATGAAAACAATAAGAAAACAAGTAGTAATCCTGATCAAAATTGTAGAATTTAAGCTTACGCACTAAATGTACATAGAAGGATACCTTTCTTTAGAGAGAGAGAGATAGGGTCTCACTCTGTTGCCCAGGCTAAAGTGCAATGGGCAGTGGCATGATCATGGCTCACTGCAGCCTAGAACTCCTGGGCTCAGACAATCCTGCAGTCTCAGCCTCAGCAGAACTACAGAACTACTATGTTGCCTAGGATGGTCTCAAACTTCTGGCTTCCAGTGATCCTCCTGTCTCAGCCTACGAGAAGGATATTTCTTAATGTTGAGAGCCACAAATCAAAATGAAGATATGGCAGTTAAGAAATATCCCAAATGAAACAGTAATCACTTGTATAAGGCGAAACTACAAAGTAATTTAAGGAAATACAGGTAGAAATACATTAGCAATAAGAGATTATAAGACACCTTAGTACATCAAGGAGGCCAAATCACATAGAAAAGGCTCAATAAACTTGATAAAGTAAATTTTATGGATATATACATATATCAAACATTGTACCCTCATAATAGGCAATACAACTTCTCAAGAGTACATGGAACATTCACAAATACTGATCATATATTTGGTTACAATGAAACATTAGTAAATTCCATAAAGTAGAAATAATACAAACAACACTCAATGCAACAGAACTAGAAATTATTAACAAGAAAAATGACAAAACGTCCTCCTACCTGCAAATTTCTTAAGTGTCTTTTAAACAACTCTTGGGTGAAAGGGGAAATAAAGTGAAAGAATCTAAAAATAATAATAACATTAAAAGCTCTACTCATTAAAAATATATGGGATACATTTAAAGCAGTCAGAAAACTCCATAGTTCTAAACACTTTAGCAGTAAAAATGAAAAAATGATAATAAATTCTCATCTCCATAGGCTAGAAAATAAACAAAAAGAATGACACAAAAAAGATAAGAACAGAAAGTAATGATATGGGGAGTAGAAAACAGCAGACCTAAGTTAATAAATTCAAAGCCTGGGTTTTTAGGAAAAAAGTTAACAAAATTCTATGTGTGGATCAAATTCACACATAACAAGGTCTTTAAACTGTTAAAATAAAAACTTCATTCTAGTTAAATTTAAAGGGGTTTAACTGAGCAATGAACAATTCATGAATTGGACAACCCCAAAATCACAGTAGATTCAGAG